TCCTACCATCTGCTTTTGAAATAGTATTATTCAATGGAAATTACATGATGGCATATTTAGTGTGGCAATAGAATCGCATTTCTAACTTTATTTTATATCACAGACTGATTTGAAAACATAAATGTGGAGTCCTTAGAGGTATTTGTCAGCTAGGAGGATCAGTCACACACATCACTGCCATTTCAAGCTGGGAACTGCAGCTATGGTCTGAGCAGAATTTGGGCCAGAGGATGCTTGCAGAGTGTGGTGTGTGCAGTTTCTGGCATTGCCTCAGATCAGACACATCTGAGGTGGATTACGTTGTCATCAGTGAAATCAGATAGATACCCCTGATGATCTCCTTGGCTCTACTGATGGTACAGAAGCCTGGGTCACAGCAGATCCTCTCAGTTCCTATTATACTAGCGTCCTCCCTTCAGATTTTTCTGATGTACTCATTTCCTCACTAGCCCCAAACACGTCCCACATCTCTAACGCTGCCTTTGATCATATTCTAATGAGCACCACACTAATCAGCTGGGCTCATTAGATACTTCCTCATTTCCTTAAAAAAAGACAACTTTTCATTTATATAATTTAAATTTTTATTTATTTTTATGGTGTCACTGGGACTGATCCCAGTTATCTATGCCTACCTTTATGTAGGTTTTGATGTCACTAGGTTTACATGACAAGCACCTGCTGAGCCACCTCTCCTTTTTATTTTGAGTCAGGTTCATTAAGTTGCCCGTGGTAGCTTTGAATACTTTTGGGTTTTGTTGTTTTTCATCTTTTTTTTTACTCTTCTCTCACAATACATCCCAACCAAAGCTTCCCCTCCCTCCTCTCCTCAGTCCTCTCCCTCACCTCCCCGTTCCTTCCCCAGATCCACTGATCCTCCATTTTCCTTCAAAAAAGAGCAGGTCTGAAACAGGTTCTCATGTAGTTGAGGCTGGCCTAGCACTCAGTATGCAGCTGAGGATGACCTTGCCTGTGTGAGCATCCTGCCTTCTCCCGTGTGCTAGGATTACAGGCTTGTATTACCACATCCATCGGAGTTCATCCAGGGATTGAACCCAAGCTTTCATGTATCCACTAAGCAAGTATTCCGCCAACTGACCAAAACTGCAGCCTCTTTGTTTCTTACTAAAAGTTGAAAAACTTGCCTATATTTTCAAAAATGATTCCTAAATATTTGCATACATTGGAATATTGTTTTTAAACAACAAAAGTGTCATGCTCTCTACATACATTTGTATTAGTAGGCCTGTGCTGGTATCAACCGGTTTATTTCCAGCAAGCAGGATAGTGGTCTCCAACACCGGCAATCCACAGAACATAGCTTGAGGAGTGTCCCCCCAGGCAAACACTGTGGTCTTCTCTGGTCTCTCATGGTTGTTGCCTTCCCTTGTTTCCCATCTGCCTCTCAGAGCTCACCTGTGTGGATCTAATGCTCTCGCTATTGTAGAACACACTTAGTCACCTCTTTCATTTTCTCCTTCTCCTCAAGCCCAGCTTCTTTTTTCTGTTCAGTTCCAACCCTCAGGGCTGGCTCACCTGCCTTCTCTATGAGGGCCATCTCTACTGCATTGACCAGGAGAGGTATAGAGCCAGTTCACTCTGTCATGACCAGCTCTCCCAACTGCCTCAGGTGGTGTGTGTGTGTGTGTGGAGGAGTGTCTTTTATCATTTATTCTTTTTTATCTTAAACTGTTCCTTTAATTTTAAAAATAATTCAACTTGTCATTTTATTCTTCAACAAGAAGATTAAAATTCTTACATGAAGATATGTATCATAACTCACAGATAATGGAGCATAAGGAACAGTGGGCCCAATTTAATACAGTTGTTTGGATCTAAGTCAAGCACAGTACTCTTCAGAGTTTCCTTACTGTGCCTAATTGTGTTGATTAATGTTCTGTCATTTGTAAGCAAGATATGACTGTGGGGAGCCGAGGAAACCCTGGGTGACTGTGTAAGGACCAAATCAAGTCCTAAGGAGTGAGTGGTGTTTAAATATCTCAGGTCCGTAGCAATGGCAAAGCTTCACAGACACACACAACCCCACACACATACACCCATAGTGAAGCCTAGAAGGACTGCAGAGCCTTCCTCTGGTCCCTTAGGATGTTGCTAAGGTATGCAGTATGAGTGCTTGCCAACGGTTGACCATTGTGTGCCAAAATTAGCAATTGTAGCTCTCTTCCCGCTCCCTGGTTGGTAAAGCCTGAGACTGCTCAACTACAGAGATCTGCTGTCAAGACTGGGTGGCCTTGCTGTGCCTAATACATTTCCCAAGGGTTAGGCTTGCTGCAGTAGTTGGTGTGCGCATAGCCCACCTCACCAGCTTGTCTGCATGTGCATTTGTGTCAGCCCTTTCTTGATTCCTTCATTGCTCCAGTCAGATTTCCAGAACCCAAGCCAAGTGGACGTGGCGTATGACCTAATGTGGTTTAATGAAAACATGAAACATTAGCTTATACAGCTGAACAGTCTGTGGATAAATCTAACCATGGAGGAGAATTTTATCTATGACTCAGATTATGGCCAAGACTCCAGACTGTCTTTTCATTTCTCACCTCCTTCTCTTTAGGTTTTGAGGAAGGTTCTTTCCTTCCTATCCCAAGACATAAATTTATAATCCCTGGGCAGAGCAGTGATAATGCACACCTTTTATTCCAACACTCCGGAGGCAGAGGCAGGTAGATCTCTGGGTTTGAATCAGCCTGGTCTACAGAGTGAGTTGCAGCATAGACAGGGGCTAAACAAAGAAACCCTGTCTTTGAAACAAAATAAACAAAACAAATCCCAGGACTGTGTATTTTCTTAAGTACAAACATGGAGAAAAGTTCTCAAACCCCCACAATTTAAACTAGTCTATGAATTGGGCCTCTAGCCTCATTGTCCTGACTTGAGTCTGTGTTCATTGCTGAGCCACCTTCTGTTCAAGGTCAACTACATGGATTGGCTACAGCTTCTGGGCATCGTTTCCAGCCACCGGCTTCTCTGAGGAGTATGGTGCACCCAACATCCTTCAGCCCTTCCACTGACTTCTTTCTTGATGGGCAGACTTGTTGCTATTGCTGTAATTTTTAAGGAATCTATCTCTTCTCTCTTTATCCTTATTGCTCAAAGTCTATAAATTGTAAAACAAAAAAAAAAATCTATACTTTGAAGACTTGTTAATTTATATCATTGTACTCTTTAGAAAATTAATCAGAACCAGAGAGATGGCTCAGCTGTTAAAGGCTAAGCTCACAACTAGAAATATAAGAAAATTAACCATAGAATTTTTTAAAGGGATAAGTGAGATGCCCCAGCAGACGACTATGCTATCATTGCAAGCCTGAAAACCTAAATCCAATTTCCAAAATATATGTGGTATGGAATAAAGGGAAACTGACTCTTATCTCCACAGATGTGCTGTGTTGTCTTCTGGCTTCCAGATGCATGCACGTGCTCACACCTGCATGCACACACAATTAGTAAAAGTAAAACAATTTCTATACATTCAGAAATTTTAACAATTTTTATCCTTTTTTGTTGCCTTCCTTAGGTTTAAAACTGGCCAAATCAATGGTGATTTGCTGATATACCATGTCTTGCTGACTTTAAAGCCATATTATGCAAAGCCATATGAAATCGTAGTGGACCTTACCCATACTGGGCCTAGCAATCGCTTTAAAACAGACTTCCTTTCTAAGTGGTTTGTTGTTTTCCCTGGCTTTGCCTATGACAATGTCTCTGCAGTCTATATCTATAACTGTAACTCCTGGGTCAGGGAGTATACCAAATACCATGAGCGGCTGCTGACTGGCCTCAAAGGCAGCAAGAGGCTTATTTTCATCGACTGTCCTGGGAAGTTGGCTGAACACATAGAGCATGAGCAGCAGAAACTCCCTGCTGCTACCTTGGCTTTGGAAGAGGATCTAAAGGTTTTCCACAATGCTCTCAAGCTAGCTCACAAGGACACCAAAGTTTCTATTAAGGTAACTTCTGGTCTGTTTTGAATATTTGTTGCCTTTCCTGACTAACCAGGTTATATTGTGACCTCTACAAATGTTCTCATAGTTGCATATCCAGTATTAGTCCCATCCAGATGTGGGAAGAGCAAGATTTCTATCTTTATTGTGGTCTTGCAGAACATTGCACACTTAGAAGACACTCTCATAAGGCCTGAGATGTCTCAGCAGTTAAGAGCACTGGGTGCTCTTCTAGAGTTCCAGAGTTCAGTTCCCAGCACCCACATGGTGGCTCATAACTATCTATAACTCCAGTTCCAAGCACACACGTGATGCAGAGATATTATGCAGGCAAACACTCATAACCATAAAATAGATTAATTTTTAAGGTACTTAGTTTGGGCAAGGGGCAGAAAAAAATGCTATAGAGAGGCCAGGCAGTTCTTGACTGTGAGCTCTGCCCAGTGGTTGTGTGTGCAAAGTGGAAAGGACCTCATGATGTAGCTCTGTTGATCAGGTCATGGTTTTTCAGAGTGGTGAGTTTTACCCCTTCAG